TCCTTAACTCACGCAGCTTGCAGATGCAAGGAAGGAAGAACTGAGAAAATAATGGATAGGTCTGATTTTAAAAGTTTAGGTGACACTGAAAATACTGAAGGCTTAATTAGTCACAGTAGTGTCTGGTTACATAAAAAACATACAGACAGATCGTAAAATCAGCTCTAAAACAACTAGCAAGATATATAGTTACCAACCAGATCCTTCCCTGTGCTTGTTTGGGGTGTAGAATGTTAGTGGTTTTATACATTATATTCAATGTGGAAGATGTCATCATCCAAAATTCAGCCGGGTCATGATCCCATTTAGACATCTTAAAACATAAATGCTGCTATCTAAAGTTGTGGCATCATTAGGATTTTCTACCATGAGATTTATGGTCTAAAGCAGTCTTTTTCATACCAGTACCCAAGGCTGCTGGGCACACGGGCATAGGCTGTGTTTCATAAGTTACTTGAGCCTTTTTCGTTTTCTACCTTTTTCTGTTGTCATTTGGCTGGAAATCTAAAGGTATATATTTTTTGCAATATTAAAACCTCTCCTCTCCTGTGATGATTGCCCATCAAAAGCCGTTTCCAAGGAATAAAGTTTCGGGGTCTGGGGGCTACTCCTCTCGCTGAAGGCTACAGAATCCCCCTGGGCTTCTCAAATGCACTTCTGGGATTTCCCCACCACTCTTTTTCTTACAGAAACATAATTGGATTCTGATGCCATAGCTTAAAAAAATAATAGACCTCAAGTCGACAAGCTTATTGTGCAACCAAAATCTTTTTTTTTAAAGAAAAAAAAATACAGAAAACATTTACCTGAACACATAGGCAGATATACACACATAAGAGTTTATATTGGGTATGTTGTTATTTCATTTTGTAAAATGGCCTAAGTTGATGTGTGTGCCTTGGAGTCTCTTCAGAGATTCATGATCCCCGCTATTTGGCTTTCACATCCAGTGCAGTTCCCTGCCTAACCCAGGATTGTGGGTGAGGACTGGGACTTGCAGTTGACCGGTTAAGAGTGGAGAAGAAGAAGGGCAAAAATGAAGGCCTTGTGTGAATTGTACAACTCCCTCAGCAGGAGTTGCATGGTTGCCTGTTAGATGCTAAGCTACCTCATGCAGAAGACCATGTGACAAGGACCTGGCCTCCAGTCAGTAGGAAAATAGGCACCCAATCCTGCAGGTACAAACACACAAACATTACCCACAAATGCATGCTCCTGGGACAGAATCTTCCCCATTTGGGCCTTTAGATAATACTGTGGTACTGGCATTAATACTCTGATTAAGGTTTGCAGTAGACCCAATTAAGCCATATCCAGCCCTCTGAGTGACAGAAACTGTACTAAGCTGTCAACTGATGGTAATACTGTTTCATGAGCCAGCTGATGTTATGCATACTATTGGCCAAATGAACCTTCTCTCTAATGCCAGCTACTACACTGTTCTTATCCCTAAGCTCCACCCAAGTCCTCTGCTCCCTCTCATTGTAGACTCAGACTGACTCTGACCTCTGGTAAGGCAATACACTGGTGTAATGCCCCTGCCTCTGACCTGAATGGGGACCAGCAGCAGCTCCCTTCTCCCCTATCTGCAGCCGTCTGTCTATTTAACCACACTGCTACTATCCAGGGGGCATTCGTTCTTGGGAGCACCCCTGCACATCCCTCCATCCCAGACCCTGTGTGGACTCCATGGGATTTGGGAACTGGCCATCACCATTTTCATCTTTGACATGAGGGAGTTGGTATCTAGGGACTTGCAGGGGCCAGAGCTAATCACTGCCTGAGCCAAGAATTCCCAGACTACCTCTTCCTTCTCTGAAATCTGCTTGATTTCCCTTGCTGGGCTAGCTTCTGGGAAGCCTGAGCCTGTGGAAACATTAGGCCAAAGGAGTAGTCAGTCAGGGACTGAATAGAGTATCTGCTCTGTATCCTCCAAAGTGCTCTGTGCCCAATCTATGCTTAGGTGGGAGATCAGCCTGGGTGTATCAGTTGGTTTCTCTACCCTCCAGTTTCTTACGCAGTTCAGTCAATGAGCAGTACCTACAAGAGACTCTGGGGACCAGTGAGTTTAGAATGTGGTTTTCTGGCCTCCACCTTAGATTTCAAAGTAACTTCCTCCCTGTACCTACAACCACAGCTTCAGTCAGCCAGACACTATTCTGAGTTCATTTAAGCTTATGCAGGGTACACCCAGGACATTCAGGTTTCCCTTACATCCTTCCAGATGTGCAAAATTTCCAAACTGAGCAATCTTCTGTTTTCTGCCAAGTCCTAAATACACAAAGACCTGGCTATGACAGACTTGGGTCCTAACACCATCTCATGGCCCTCAGTGGCTGGTCTGGAAACAGCAAGAGTCACTTCTTGGGAAGCCCCGGTTGCCACTGAGAGCACTTCCCCTCTTCAGTGTTCTCTCCCAGTTACCAGCCATGGTGCTGAAGCTCGGTGTCACCCGCCTCCAACACATCTACACCTCCTAAGAGCATCACACAGTGGCCAGGGGCTCTGGTTGCACATTTCGAGCCACCTGCCTCGTTCTTACCAGCTTCCCTGCAATAACTAAAGCTGTGCCATTCATTATGGTCTGCCTGAGCCTCCTCTTGTCACTCCCACCCAGCCCAGGAAGCAAGTGTAATCTCCATGAAGAGCTGTACAGTGATCGCGAAACGGTATTGAGCGTAGCGTTAAAGTCAATGGCCCAGTCCCTTAGCAGTTTAAACACGTCGTACACTCACGTGAGGATGGTAGATGCAATTCTAGAGATGTAGGACAAGCGAAAGCACGCATAAAGCAGGCGAGCACAGCCTCACGTAGCCCCTCCACTGTAAGCCACAAGCAGGGCTGTGCGGCACAGGTGGCTATATGGAAGAACTCCAACAGCACGCCACAGCAGCCAAACCCCAAGCTTGGGCAAGCTCCCCACACAGACAGCAGAGATTTTTTTTTAAATAAACCCAAGTAGAGTCAACAAATACGGTGACTCCCGCTGCTCCGCACAGACACCTGTTCTCTAAAGCACTGCTTAGCCCGCCAAGCATAGAGGCTCAGCTAGCCCAGGAAGGATTTAAACTTGACACAATGGATTGACATTCACTTAGCTCCATCAAGAGACAAACGGACTCATCATTAGCCATGTGGTCTCTGGTCCCCGTGGGTTGTGGGGGCACCAGCCTTGCCACTGAAATTGGCAGGAATGGTGACAGGCATGAGGAGGTGCCACCATTGGACTTGCTCAGAGATGGATGAGTCACTCTAGATAGTGGAGAATGGCTTTGAATCTTGATGGATGTGTCTGTTCTTGGGAAAGTAAAGCTCACTTGTTCTCTCGCTCGCTTGCTTTTGCTCTCTCTCCCTCTCCCCACCCCATGATCTCTGACATTCATGGGCAAGTCTAGAGGGTGCCTGCCGACTTTGTTCTTCCTAATTTAGGTAGCATCCTTCCTTGATTCCATGACCCACCCTCAAGAATGGATGTCCCAATTCATTGTGAGAAAAAGTAAAAGTTTCAGCATATCCTGAGCCTGGATCAAGTCCCTCCCATTCAAGTATTCCTCCCTCCCATGGGGTGGGCTCACTGCCTTTTCTTGGGTTCAGTCTAGACTCCATTCTCGACCTAGTTTCCCTTAGACATGTGCACTGGTCAGTTTTAACGGACAGCTTGCCAGCCTAGAATTCCCTAAGAGGAGTGGGAGCAGCTCAGCTCTGGAAGGAAAGGTATCCTGGCGTGTCTGGAAGTCGGGTGATACGGGAAGCTGCTGTGGGGTGAGGGATGGTTGCCCCACAGGATGCAGCAATCCTGCTCCTCTCTGAGAAAGAGCCATCACAGCTGACCTCTGCTCTGTCCCCCTAAGGGACCGTCCTAGCAGAGCTACCCATCCTTTCTGCTCTGCTCGGCTCTGGCCCAAGGTGCTGCTTCTTCTGCTTCACCCTGCTAAAGGGGAAAGCCCTGCAGGAATGTAATGATCTCTTCCAGCTCAGGTGGAAAAATTACTTTTTCTGGTCCACTCCCAAGGGAGTTTCCCAGCAGACATAACTGTTTCTTCTGGTCTTCTGGGTTTGTTTTTTTTTGTGTGTGTGTTTTTGTTTCTGCTCAGCACCCCTTAAGGGAACATCTCAGTAAAGGTACTTCTCTGTCCTGGCAAAAGAAGATCTTCACCCAAAACTCTCTTAAGAAAGAGATTTATTTGGAAAGGGGGAGTCCAGGAGAGTGGCTGCCTCTGCCAGTGTGGGGTAGGACCGCCTGCATCGGAGTAGGCAGAGGGGCTTATATGGGCTTCGTAGGGCCGGAATTTTCCCAGGAAGAAGCTTTTCTGCTCAGTTGGGTAGTTTTCTTGCTCAGGGATTGGTTGGTTTAGTTGGTCAGGGGCAGAGTTGGTTTTAATTTCAGGGCCAAACTGTGTTTCTTTCACTGGTCCTTTTTAGCCTTTTGGCTTTGTTTTTGGGGCCAGAGCATATTTCTTTCACTGGTTCTGGTTCTAGGGCCACAGCCTGCTTCTTTGGCTCTGGTTTCAGAGCAAGGATGTGTTTCTTAGGTTCCGAGTTCAGGGATAAAGTGTTTCTTCCACTGTCTTTGGGTTCATGGCCAGGTTGTGTTTCTTTCATTAGCTCTGGTTTCAGGGCCAGGGTGTGTTTCTTTGGCTGGCCCTTTTACCCTACAAGGGGAATCTTAATTGAAGGGTTGGCTAGATCAGATTGGCCTGTGAACATGTCTAGCGGGGATTCTTATGACTGTTAACTTACCCTGCCCGTTGTGGGAGGCACCATTCCCTAGGCAGGATGTCCTGACGTGTATAAGAAAAGAAAAACAACAAACAACAAAGTATACGTTTTCCATACCTCTCCTCGGCCGCCTCCTCCAACCATATCCCTCCACTTCCTGCCCCCTACCCCCATCTCTTTCAGTGGATGTGATGTTTTTAAGTTTTATCCTTGACTTCTCTACAATAAAGGACCGTAACCTGGAATTGTGAGTCAAACAAACCCTTTATTCCTGAAGTTTCTTTAGATCAGGGTGTTTTACCACGGAAACAGAAACGAAATTAGAACATGGTCATGAGGTGACATTCTCAGCCCAGTGTGAGCAGGCTCAGAAGCAGCTGTCCTTGGCATGTAAACCTCCCATCTTTGACTCCTGGCTCCTTCCAGCTAACCTTGACCCTGAGTTCATCCTTGGAGCTCTGCTGGTGAACCTTCAGCTGGTGACCGCACCTAGGAATCTTGGCATTTTCCCAGGACTGCTACATTTGAAAATTACACAATGGTGTTCTTACAAGCCGCTTGAAGTTCAGTTCTTTGTCAGTCCAGACAGGCTCACTGTGACCAACAACTTCTTTCCCTAAAAGTTGAGATGAAGAAATTAAAATGAGCTAGTCAAATGTATCCTTAGTATAATACTTAATCTTCATCATCAGCTGGACTGGGTTTAGAGCCACCATGGAGATGCACACCTGTGTGTATCTGCATGGTGTGTGTTTCCAGAAGGGTTTGACTGAGGAGGGAAGACCCACCTGAACATGGGTGCTAGCTCATTTTTGGTTGTGTTTCTATTGTTGGGACAAATACCTTGACCCAAAGGAATGTGTTTATTTAGCTTTCAATTCCAAATTAGAGTCCATCATTTCATGGACGTCAAAGCAGAAACGCCAAGCAGCGAGCCACATCACATCCCAGCCGAAAGCAGGGAGCAAATGCATTGTTGCTTGCTTGTTCTCTGCTCACTTTCTCCCCGCTTAGGGTTCCTTGCCTGAAAGATGGTGCCACCTACCACAGGATGAGTAGTCTTCCTGAACCAGAGACTGTCTCCCATGGACATGCCCAAATGCCAACCTAGTCTAGATAATTTCTCATTAAGATTCTCTTCCCAGCTGGTTCTAGGTTGTGGCGAGTTGACAGCTAAAACTAACAAGGCAAACCATTCCATGGAATAGGCATCCTTGACTAAATAAATAAAAAGCGAAAGGAAGCTGGGCACTGCCATTTATTTCTCTGCTTCTTGAATATAATGCAACCAGCTGGCTCACTCTTCTGCGATCGTGACTCCCCTACCATGATGCATTTGGTCTTTAAACAATGAGTCAAACTAAACTCTTCCTTCCTTAACTTGTGTCTGTCAGGTGTTTATCACAGCCGTCTGGAAAGTATGCTTGGCAGAGGCAATTCTTCAGGGTTAACGCACATGTCCCTGTGGCGTGACCTTGGTGAACACACCACCTCTAGTGAGGGGCTGTCAGCTCTGACCCAAGTTGTGAAAACCTTGATTTAGGAGTTGCTTTTCCTGCCATGCTCCTCCAGCATGAGAGCGACCTCCGTTGTGTCCATCTCCGCTGTGTCTTGGCTCTGCAGGCATTGAGATGGTGTGTTGAAATAAGAGGCTTCAAGTTACAAGGTGCTATGGCTTAGAAGAGAAATTTCCCCCACCAGTTCATGTGTTTCAACACTTGACCCCCAGGTGGTGACACTCTTTTGACTGGTTGTAAAACCTTTGAGGGGGGGAGTCTTGTTGCAGGAAGGTCACTGGGAGAGGGCCTTGGCTTTTACAGCCCAATCCTACTTTCTCTTAGCCACTCTCTGCTTTCTGGTCCACAGAGAATCAAACAAGCAGCCTTGGGATTCTGTTGCCAAACTCCTGAGATCATATCACTGCTAAACGATCCCCATCGTGATGGACTCTACCCATAAGCCATGAGCCAGGCCACCCTCCTCTCTTGAGCTGCTGTCTGCTGGATTCTTGGTACCAGCGATAAGAAAGGTAACTGTCCACATCACTGTCCAGGCCTCCTTCCTGGATCTAGAACTAGCCTGGGCTCAGCTCTCCTTCCTACCCTTGAGCTTGCTCCAAGGACATCCTACTAGCCAAGGGCCTTCCTCCACCCCAGTGACAATCAACCCTTCTTCACAACCATGAGGTGGTACTTCCTCCTTGTAACATGAGGGACCGGCTTGTTGGGGTTTCTGTCCCGCCCAGTACCCCAACAAGCCAGCAAGCCCCAAGGAAAATCACACACAAGACTCCATAAGATTATAAACTGATTGGCTCATTAGGTCAGGCTTCTTATTAGTTCTTATAACCTATCTTAACCCATTATTCTGATCTATTTTAGCCACACAGGCTCAGTACCTTTTTCAGTGTGACAGGTTACATGTTGCCTCTTTGGTGGTCTGGACAGGAATGGCTGAGGAACCCCTCTGCTTTCCAGAATTTTTTTGTTTTTATTGTATCATCTCTACTTTCTGTCCGGTTTTCCCGCCTATACTGCCTGCCTGGCCAATCAGCGTTTTATTAAAATATGATTGACAGAATACAGACAATTCTCCCATATCATTTCTCTCTTTTTTTTTAAATAAAGGAAAATACCCATAGTCCATTTGTTGAGATAGCCTTGGCTACATGACTCGCTCTATCCAACATCTAAGTAGAAAGGACATCTGATCCTTCCAGTAGCAACTCTGGAGCAAACATCTGCTCCCATCTTTCCTTTCCCTAATGAGGAGCTCCATCTCTCTAGGATTCTGTATCTTATGGATTGTCTCCATCAGACGGTCCTCAGCTAGAGAAAGGACTTTCCGTTTCGAGTCACCGAGATTTGAGCTGATTTGTTACAGCAGCAGAGCATGGTCCATTCTGGTAACCTCAACACCCTCCACTCACCTCCAGTGTAACCATGATCTTTGCTCCTACAGCATCCTCACACACTTGTGCAGAATACATGTTAAGCATTTATCTACTGGCCTATCTCCCTGGTCATTATTCATCCTTTTTATCCCAGGGACCTCATCAGAGCTTTCGATGTAATAGGTTCTTTCTGAATGCATCGGACTTCCTGAGGATCAAATGGGCCCCGGGGTACAAGGGGCCACCTGTTACAGCTCCTCCCAGTGACTCTCTTGCCTTAGGGACATTCTAATTCTGAAATAAAATATCAGAGTGCTTGCGATTCAAGTTCCAGGTCCTCTGAGTGTCTGTCTGTGTGGTGAGCACAGAGGAAGATGGGGAAATGGAAGAAGAAATCCCACCCTAGTGAAGGGAAGGGAGCAAACAAGAAGGCAGGCTCTCCAGAGTTCCGGAGAAGCCTGAGCAACCGTACATCTCCTGAACCAGCAGCAGCTGCACCCAGGCGCTGCCATCCTGTTTCACAGCCAAGCTGGAGCCCTGGGCAGTATGCTGGGAAAGGACACTATTCTCTGTGACAGGGACACTGAAGGATACTGGATGTTGTCCACATGGAAGGTTGTGTGAGTGGGAAAGACCAAGAGTAGATGGAAAGACACCAGTAAGACTCTAGGCTCAGACCTCAAAATGGTGATGCCTGTTTGCTAAGTTCAGGGTTAGGGAGATGACTCGTTTGTTAAATTGAATACTCACAAGCATGGGACCTGAATTTGGTCCCCAGCAACCGTGTAAAAAGCCAGGTGAGGTAGCATGCATAGTAATCCCAAAACCAGAGATAGGGGAATAGGCAGATCCCTGGGGTTCACTAGCCGGCAAGACTAATTTAGCTTGTGAGTCCCAGGTTTCAGTGAAAGACCCTGTCTCAAAAAACTAGGGGAGTGGGGCAGTTCCTGAAGAATCACACATAAAGCTGACCTCTGTTCTTCTAATACATAAATTTAACAAAATCAAAGCTTATGTCACCTTTGGGAGTGAAAAGCCCCACCTTCTGCCTCTGTAGGAGAGCAGTCACAGCTGTTTGGAGCCTAGACCCAGTCTCAAACAGAGCTATTCAGCTCCAAACAAAGTCAAGAGGCCATGGAGGAGCAAGTCAAGTCTCCCAAGTTCCTGGCACCCAGGTGCCTAGAATGTACCAGGTGACAAAAGCTAATCAGAGAGCCACACTCAGTAAAGGGTCAAGTCCCACGCTCGGTCCTGGTCTCCGGGCATCACTGTCAAGGATGGGGAGGGTGTGACTCCTTTCCTGCTGGGGGGAATGGGCCAGGGTCATGTGTGCTATCTCAGCAGCAGGCATCACAATAGAGGGCGCTGTGGGCTCAGTAAGAAGCACGGGGATCCCTGGAGGGACACATAGAGCTTCCTGAGTGGTGAGAGAGAGGAAAGAGGGCAGAAAAGAAGCACGTGGGTGCACAAGTAATAGAAGCTGAGCAATCACCCTGAAGCAGAGTAGGGAGGCCCAGGGTGAGCCCACAGCCTGAGAGTAACCCCAGGAGATGAGCAGGGAGACTTGAGTGAGCCAACAGCTCTAGAACCCCAGAACATAGCTTGCACAGCCCTCCTGAAGTGGCCAAGGTTCTGCAACAATGAACAAAGGAGCAGAGGCAAGCCTGGCCTAGAGCCACACAGAATCCTGAAGGGGTGAGCCCTATGCCAAGCTCAGATCCAAAGCTGACACTGACACATCTTGAATCACTTCTATTGCTCCACTAATCAGCTCAGAACTTTCAGAGTTGGGTCTTCAGTGGAGTCAACACTGTAACTCATGAAAGCCAGGGTTGAGTTTTCTTGGGGAAGAGAGTTAATACCCTGACAACTTTCTAGGAATGTGACGTGCCTCTGTCCTTGTTGACTAGGTCAGATCTCTGCCAGAATGAAACTCAACTTCTTTCCAGTGTGCATATCCAAACATTGACCTGGGAACTTATGGGCAACAGATCCAGATGCCGTTGTCCCAGGACTCAGCATTTTTAAGCAGCCTCTAGGTAAAGTGGATGCTTCTAGTACTAAAACATCAGTTTTAACAGGAACACCACACTCTAAGTGAAGGGCCTCCTGAATCTCAAAGCACCTACACCAAGGACTTCTTTGAATACCTGTGCTATACCAACCTGACCCAATAGGACTTTATGGTTCACAGTACCTAATGTCACCAGACAGTGTCTCCATCATGTCCCAAACATTCCCCATATATTAAAAGGACCAACTGTGCATCACAAGAATACTCGGCACTGCATGGTCTTCTTTCTAAAAAGACTGCACAATAAAAGAAAACTTAGCATCCTTCTAGATTTTCAGCTATGGTTTAGAATCACTATGGAAAGAAACCTCTGGGTTTGTCTGCGAGAGATTTTCTAAACTGAGATTTTCTAAATCGAAGTAAGACAACACCTCCTAGATACAGACAGCCCATTCCATGCGTTGGGGTCCTGGACTGACCAAGAAAGAGAAAGAGAGCTGGACACCAGTGTTCCTCTTGCTCTGCTTCCTGACTGTCGATGCAGTAGAGCCAGGTGCCTCATGCTCCCACCGCCATACTGTCCTTGCTATGATGGTCTGGACCTTCAAACTGTGAGCCAAAACAAACACTGCCTTCCTTAAGCTGTTTTTTGCAACAGCAGGTGGGGAAATCTCATTATGCGAATAAGGAAATTAATTAACATAACCCACAAACAGTATAGATCTGAAGAAGAGACAGAAGACTGCACGGTTTTGCACACTACCTAGGGTGACAAGATCTTTTCAAAGGTTACCTCTTTCTTTCATGTGAATTTTAAATAAACTGTCTAATTAGCACCCATAAATGCTGAAGTAAGTAATGTGTGCTCCCTGTGCAAACTTTGAAAAGAACTACCAAGGACAATTGAAAAGGCATTTCCCATTTCATAATCCTCATCTCTATACATACATACATATATATATATATATATATATTATGAGATTATAAGGCATATAAGTTTGTATCTTTTATTTTCACTTATCATCTTAGCAATGTGGCTGTCTTACTAGAAACCCAGTAAACCTCCTTCTCACTGACTGGATAATGCTCTGCTATGGCCTCTTGCCTTTTACTGGACACTTGGGTTTCTTCCTTCGCTGCAGGGGTAGTCCCCCTGGACTAAACCACTTCTTTATATTTTTTACTCTGCTCACCTGGATTTTGCATCTCCTCCTTCTCAGACCCTTATCATTTCCCTAGGGTGGCTTCACAGATTTGGAAGAATAAGGTTCAGTGGTCACAACCATGTATGCCACACTGCTCTGCCGGAAGTTTGGAGACATTTTTTCACAGCAGTCCATGGAAAGTCTGGCTAGCCCCCAACCCTTCAGAAGCACTGAGTTTTATGAGTTTTTATACTTTTCAAGACAATTTCCCAGGCAAACACATATGGCACTGTCTGTCTGGGTCAGGCTAGTGATCTACCCGTCCTTCCACACGGCGGGGGAGGGGGAGGATCCTGTGTCTTCACTGGTGTCATTAGAGGCAAGATCTGTGAGCCAGCTCTAAATGAGGAATGGGGAGAACCCAGCATCTCAGAATTGATTAGTTAGTGCAAAAAAGGAAAGAAAATGGTCACAGGTGGGGATGGCAGGTGTGACAGCCCAGGATACTTGGCAAAATATGACACACATTTGATTACGGGGAGGGCGGCTTGAAGGCTCTGACCAGCCACGTGAATCTCCTTTGTCCCTCCACCGCCCTGGATTATCTGTGTTTTTGTTTTCTCTGTGTACTTTGTGCGGTTTTTTTCTCTGAATTCTTGCATTGGTGACACCAGCAGCAGATGCTGTGTGAAATTAGATGCCTAAGCGAGGTTCTAAAACGTTCCCAATAAACAATGCCAACAATTAGGTGTTTCAAAACACACCGTCACTGTCAGGTCTGAAAACAGATGCATGACACCTTGAAAGGCAGCCGCCATCCACAGAGCTTTTGGCAAAGAGCCCGCAGCCACTCTCGGACTAGGCACCAATTCAAAATGTTATTGTTGCTATTATTATTAATTAGTGCATACTAATTGCTTTCTAACTTTCTTTTCTGATTTGAAAAAAAAAAAAAGAAATCCTCCCCTCTTCTGGAGGCCCAAGGGAATGTCCCTGGCAATGTGATTTGAGAATGAGTGTGCCAGAATGAAAGAAACAGTAAGCGGGCTCGGTCGTGGTCCTTATCACGCCTAAAATCAACCTCCCTGGTGATGAGGTTTGGGAAGAGGACTTTGGCTTCAGGAAAGAAAGCCTTAACTGTTACTGTGCCTCTAATACATCAAAGACAGCTGCATTTGCATTCCACCGCTCTGGAAGGATTAACAAGCAAATGGCTCAGAATCTGCAGCCCCACTGAGTTGAAAAGCAGATAAACACCACAGGTGAGAGCAAGGAGACAGATGAAGCCATCCTGGCTAGGAAGAGAGCCCATGTCCACCTCCACGCTACCAGCAGAACACCAGTGATGGCCTGAGTCTTCTGTAACCCTGCAGTCCCGTCTCTCATTCTGCCTCCGCTCTCATCCCAGACAATGCTGGAACTCACCAGTGGCCGAATGCAGCATTTGCTTGACTCTTGCTCTCCAAGGTCTTCTCTTGAAGCCCAACAGCAGCAAACCTAGATTAATCCTTCCAGGGGAAAAAGAAGAAGAAGAAAAAGAAGAAGAAGAAGAAGAAGAAGAAGAAGAAGAAGAAGAAGAAGAA